CATACGAAAATATCGTCCTGACAGTCCGCCTCCTGGACTTTTCCAACTGTCACCTCCAACTCGTCCACATCATGGTGAAATGAGTTCTCTCCCAACCTCGCAGGACTATAAAACGCACTTCCTTCCGGTCTCCCTTCCCTCTTGAGGATCTCATCAAAGATGGAACCCGGACAAGATGATCCACAGCAGCTCGTTGTGTTGAGCGCAGAAAACGGGGACGGCTGAATACTCTCCGGAATCGGCAAATACCGACTCGGCCTGATCTCGCCGGGGTGGTGGAAGGAATCCCCGGCCAGGAAAACAAAACTGCTCTTGTTCCCATCGGACTGAACCCTCGCCAGGGCACACAAATGCCCGACGGTATGGCCCGGCGAATCTAGGAGATAAAAGCTCCCATCGCCAAAGTAATCCACCGCGCCGAACCGTCCAATTTTTAGCGTTTTATATTTACCATTCTGGAAGTCCAACTCTTCGAGCTCTCTCCCCTCGTAATCAGACTCGAGAATGGTGCTGCTTGGATTCGCAGGATAACCCGGCAGCATTTTCTCTCTAAACTCGGGACCGACAATCAGTTTTGTTTGGGACCCAAAACGAGTCATGTCGCCCGTGTGGTCGAAGTGGTGATGGGACCAGACAACAGCTTCAATGTCTCTCGTGGCCAGACCATTTTCTTCCAAAATGTCACGGACGTCCTTTGTCACAGTTATCTTACATCCGAACTCCTGCAGCCGGTGATAAATGACCGGTGACAGGTTCTGGAAGTCCTTGCGGATTCCGAGGTCGAACAGGAGACGTCGGTTCGTGGGAGGGTGGTGGATCAAGAAGGAGTAGATGGGCGCTGCGAGCCAGTTGTGTCCTTGGATGGGAGGGGACACCATGAGGCTCGTTGGCCCGCCATGGAGTGTTGATGTGGTGTTTATTGCTGAGACCGAGACGGTGGACGAGGAGGGGGGGATGTTGAGGTTGGGAGGGGGTAGGGGAGCCATCTTGATGGTGTTGGGTGGTGATGGATAGATGCTGTGATGATTTCAAGGGGGTGTGTCCAAGATATGTCTCTTTATAGACAACGAAAATAAAATACCGAATGCCATGTCCGCTGCTTCCGCTCCGTTTATGCCGTAGCGCCGTCCTTACCAACAGCACAACCCAACCAACGTCATCGCCACCGCGACACCGTCCGGACCCACCAGGAGAGGCACACCCCGCCCCAGACCCCGCCTGGGCCGATGTGCGAGTGTGTTCACGAGAGTGACTCTGGTGATGCACTATCTCATGTCCGTATTCCACTTCATCTTTGTAGACATTACTGGCAGTGGGGGGCTGAAATAACAGTTGTTGTGTATGAACAGTTGGTAAGTCAAATTTAGTTTGTTTACAAGTAACCGTTGGTGCAAACAAAACCGTTGCCATCGGTTATACCACACTAGCAGGGTTTTTTTTCTGCAGCCATAAACCTTCTTTTATTTACTTTTACCTGCCCACCTGCCTGCATACCCACCTACGTGCCTGCCTACCTACGTGCCTGCCTACCTACGTGCCTGCCTACCTACGTGCCTGCCTACCTACGTGCCTGCCACCAAGCCAGCCAGCCATCCACCACCACACCCATCATCTTGCCTGCCTGCCACCCAGCTTGCCACCCAGCTTGCCACCTAGCCTGCCACCTGGCCGGAGATGCCCTGGGATGAGAGATCTGGTCAGTCTCCGGCACGGCTGCAAGCTAGGAAGCCCGTGTGGGCGTGTGTGTGAGTGTGGGTGTGGGAGCGGCCGGGCACCTCCTGCCCTCTGGGAATGCCCTCATCCACTTGCACCCTGGCCTGGCCCACCCTGGACTTTGGTTCGGCCCACAAATCAAAGGCTAGTAAACCTTACTTTATTTACTTTACCCGTTTGCTATAGCAACCGCGTTTGTTTGCCACAACGGTTGGCGAATTTCCAACGGTTATAAGTAAATAAACAGTTAATGGTGTTGTGGGACAGTTGATGGCGTTGTAAGACGGTTGTGTACACATAACGGTTTAATGTCGCTATATATGATCATTCATGGACACGATGATATGACGGCCGACGTTGATTAGCTCCACGGAACATCGGATGGGCTGGCTCGAGGCCCTGACTCGTGCAGTCCTTGCAATAACATCCACCACGGGTTGTTCGGACATGGGGTTGGCTCATACAGTCAGGAGGGATCGGTGGGTTGGGTAAGATTGGGTGAGTGGTATATGACAGTGGTAAATAAAACCCATATATGTATTTTGTGCTTTCTTGGGTCTGGAGACCCTGCCAGTGGTTCCCGGATCCAGCAATCATGAAGGTATTCCCACTCCAAGGTATATCTTGACTTTGGAAGCCAGTCAAAGCCAGTCAAGCCAGTGTATACCGACTTAACATCGGTCCGGAATATCATGCAAACGCAGCAGGGATAACAGTTGAAATGCCAGTGGCAACCCGCTGCTGCAGCATTGTGGCTGTCAGGGTGCTGAAACCGAACAGCAGTCGCTGAATAACCATTCAGACGGTATTTAGGGTACAAGCTGAACACAGACTGGAGTGTGTCATTGACTGCATTGAATAACCAAGCCCCGCTTTCCATGAGGCAGCTGCATGTGCCAAGATCTTACTTGATGAAGCTATCGACAAGGCGCAGGAGTAACAATGGAACGAAGGGTCTATCTAGATTTGGAATAGAGCTTTGTGGGCCTGTCACCTTTCACCGCAAAATGAACTCGACCAGTTGCTGATATTTCCCTCCCCTCGCTATTGCCAATGAATTGTATGTATTTGGCTCTGTGGTCACACCGAACGACGACCCCGCGCAACAATCCATCAGAGCCCAAGCGCAATGAACGGACAATTTACCCCGACGACGAATATATTACAGCGCATCTATACCCGGACTCGAGTATCCAAATGGTCGGGGTGGTTACCCTTTACATCTCATTTACTACCTTCCGTGAACGCTCGGAAGCCTCGGTACCCGGTCAGTTCATTCTCAACCCAGATTACTACAATATCTCCCTTGGCACCCACCAGAGGTTGTGATTCCTGTAGCACGCAGACGCATGCAACCCTGGAATTTCTGTCGGTACTTGTGCAATTGGGAGTCAGGGTCCTTGGCTTCTCGCAACGCAAACTCAAACGGCCACAGGATGACACCTTGAAGTTGATCTGCTCAAAGTCATTGGGTATCCGTATGCTGGGTAAACGTGGGTCCACGTTATCAAAATCTATCGGTATTGCATTCAATGGGCTGCTCAGCTCGGCGAGCTATTGAACGGATGTTCAGGAAGCCGGAGAGTATCACCGTCGGTAGTGGATGATGATTGCCAGCGAGGCTCATTAGTTATCCACGGGACTGCAAGATGCGTATTCTACGTTGAAAATAAAAGTATAAAATGCGTCTTCATGTCGAGCGATGATGTGATCAGCTCAACAAGCTTCATCACCAAACATACTTTCAAGATTCGTGCACACAAACCAACATTCGGTACCAAAAATGCATCTCCAACTTCTCCTCCTCGCCTCTCTTCCTTTCCTCGTCCTCTCCACTCCAACCCCCTACGGCCCCCGCCGCTCACCCAAGCCCTTTGACACCACTTCCCGTCCCCACGCCCTGGACTGGAACACGATCCGCCCAGACTCCTTCCTCAAGAAACGCCGCACCCTCCACTCGGTCGAATACTTCACCAACCCTCCCCCTTACAAAGAGAAACGCTCCCCTTCAGCAACCTCCCCTTCCACTCCCCTTCTTCAAGACCGCGCAACCCCGGGCCAATGGGACAACCTGGGCGGCTCAGGCTCCTACCACCCTTCCCCCATCTCCTGGGGTCCAGGCCGCCAAGACGTCTACTACATGAACCGCGACCGCAAGTGCTACCACAAGTACTACTCTGGCGGATCTTCTTCAAACCCCTGGAGTCCGTGGAACGATATCGGCGGCAGTCTCGACTCTGCGCCCTCGGCGTGCAAGCGCAGACCGGACTACATGCATGTATTCTGCAAAGGAACGGATAATCAATGCTGGCACCGTCCTTACGGCGGCGGATCGTGGGGCAGCTGGCAGGGAATGGGAGGAACAGTCAAGCACTATCCCTGTTCGTGCAGTTGGGGGAGCAGGCACGTAGGAGTGTACGTCTGCTCCGGTGACGGCCAGCTCTGGGGGAGACAGTACGACGAGAACAGCGGATGGGGGAGCTGGCAGAACATGGGAGGGAGCCTGGGTGGCGCTCCCCAGGCTGTCACGTGGGGAGACGGTAATACCATGATGGTCGTTATGGGCGATGACGGACAGGCGTGGACGAGGATGACGAACAACGGGGCGGCTACGTGGTCAAACTGGCAGGGCATCGGTGGGTCTCTAGCTGCTGAGCCTGCTGCCGTTGCTGTGAATGGGACCATGGGTGTTTTTGTCACCGGTACGGACGGGGCCGTTTGGACGAGGATGTTTACGAATAGCACGGGTAGTTGGAATAACTGGACGAGCATGGGCGGGGATGTTAAAGATGCTACTCCGCCTAGTGTGACTGCCACTGATAGTAGGAACATGGAGGTGTTTTACACTAGCAGTAGCGGGACGGTGTACAGGAAGAAGATGACGGGTGGTACCTGGAGTTCTACTTGGGAGAACATGGGCGGGAGTGTTGCGTCTAAACCGAGTGTTTTGGGATGGGATAATGGAAAGGTCGATGTGTACGGGATTGCTTCGGATGGCAGTACTCGTCGGTGTTTCTAAGCTTTCGAGTCTCAACGCGGGAATTTGCAAGTTAACCGTCACGGTGAAAAAGGGGGCAGATTGTTATGACTAGGGTGGAATTTGTCGTTACCGTTTAGGATCTCTTTTGACATGACTATTCATATCATATTAGGCCAATTTTCCGAACCAATCGAATTTACACTAGCAATCGCGTCAGTATCGTACCTGAATCTCGTCCGATTTGGCAACCGGACTTCTTGTATTCTAATGCGCGGGTGCCAATCATCTCATCGCATCGTCGTTGTAAGGTCCGCTGGCGTAATGGCAGCGCGTCTGACTACGAATCAGGAGGTTCCAGGTTCGACCCCTGGGCGGATCGTTTTTTGCCCCACCCTTCATACTGAAGGAAGCATCTCTTACTTCCCTGCCACTATTCACATCCATTTCAAGCGATTTAAACTTTTCTTTTTGTCTTGTTTCCTTCTGGGCTATGTCAAAGCCTGTGGACATTGTCTGCGCTTTGCTCAAGATGTCAGCCGTAACCAGCTGGCCACCCCTTCCCCTCACACAAGGTCACGTCATCAACATCCAGCACCACTGGTGGCAACCCAACTAAAACAATAATAACATATCATGCACTGGAAGAATTCGAGCAATCTACATTTGAGTATTTTGAAAAGCATCGCGTTGAAAAGAGAATTGCCGTCTTCCAGGATGTCGAGAACCCACGGAACGGACGAGTGGAAAAAGCGCTCGGTAGTCTCATCCTTCATTTTCAAATTTGACGATTCAGGCCAGAACCAGCCAAAGGTTGCGCTGTTCAAACGTAGCGATAAGGTGTCGACCTACCAGTAAGTGATTCTGCCATCATCGAATCAGCCGAGAATTTACTCACCCTGGCCGCAGACACCACCTTGCCCCTATCTCTGGCTCCATCGAACCAACTGATCCGTCTCCTCTAGCAACAGCCTGGAGGGAAATATGGGAAGAGACCACACTCAATTCTCAGTCTCTGACCCTTCTCAGGAAAGGAAAAAGTTACAGTTTCAGCGACCCCTCAGTCAAGAGAGAATGGACCATCTATCCCTTTCTTTTTCGCCTCAAAACCCCGGATGACGAACAGCACGTCAAGATCGATTGGGAACATGAAGACTGGGGATGGCACGACCCAAATGAAGTCATTAAAGACGACTCTTACGCCGTCAAAGGTGTTCCTCGGCTAGCAGAAAGTCTCCGTCGTGTGTGGTTCGAGACAGACCTCGGTCCAGAGGCAGGCAAGATACTTTCGAAAGGGCTCAACACACTCGCCCATGACCACGAAAGTGGTGCCAGACAACTAGCCGGAACTGCTCTACAAACCCTCCGTGACATCATCTCTGTCCTTCCTCAGTCGGAAGACTGGTGGAAGCTCGTCCGCACCGCAGCTTGGCACCTCTCCAAGAACGGTCGGGAAAGCATGGGCGCGGCCATCACCAGCGTCCTCCTCTCTGCACTATCACAAATCGAACCCGCCGCCACCACCCAACCATCTTCTCACATCCAAACGGACAAAACCCTCTCCCAACTCGACACCCTCCTCTCATCCCGACAATCATCCATCTCCTCGCTAACAGCAACCTTCCAATCTTACCTCTCCACCACCTTTTCTTCTTCCACTACCAATCCCATATCCCTCCTCACCCTCTCAGAATCATCAACAATCACGCACGTCCTCACGCACCCTTCGACCCCGCCCTTATCAATCTCGATCCTGGAATCCCGTCCCTTATTCGAGGGAATTTCTTTCGCATCCTCCCTGCTTTCTAAATCCAATCACAAAATCCAAATCCTCCCCGACACTTCCCCTTCCTTATCTTGCCACCCCAGTCTGCAAATCCTCTTGATAGGGGCAGACCGCATTTCTCCAGAAGGAGCCGTCCTCAACAAGATGGGGTCCCTACCCGCCATCCTGACCGCCAGGTTCCTATGTCCAACAGTAAAGGTAATAGTCCTGGGAGAGACAGAAAAGATCGCTGTCCCTCCTCCGAGCAGTTCAGTATCGGAGTCGGAGGAAGCAGAAGAAAATGACCATAATCAAGTGAGCAGGGCGTGGAATGCTGCAAATAATTCCGAACGAGTAAGAGAGGGAGCGAAATTGATAAAAGAAAAAGAAAAAATTGTAACGGTCAGAAACGTCTTTTTCGAGTGGGTGCCTGCTTCTCTTGTGGACGTGTACGTCACAGAGAAGGGAGTCCGGACCGTCGGGGACATTGCGAGGCACGCCGACAAGATGGCTCAAGAACAGGAACGATTGTTTGGGGACTTGTAATAAAAAGAGAAACAAACATGAAGAAGAGAGACTGAAAACTCAGCAGTGAATTAGGGACATTTCCAGTTTTTTTATTGGGGACGTTGTTGAAATTTCACTTTTATCTGTCTGATTGTCTGTTCTGAACCGTAAACAGTAACCACAAGAAAAAAAAAATCAAAACAATTCCTTCATCTCGTCGTGAACAAAGGGAGTTATATGTGTCATGATAGTCATCATCATCTTGCCCCCCGCTTTCGAATGAATCATTGAGCAAGAAGAAAAGCATTCCAAAAAGAAAACAAAATGAAGAAAGTCCAAAGAGTTCATCATGAGACCACATTAAACCTTCTATCTAATCAAAATCCAAGCAACGTAACGTAACGTAACGCTTTAAGGGGGTATCTAAGCAACCGTGCGAACCGAGCCAAAAGATGTATCATAACTCCAAAACTCCCGCCCAGCACAGGCTAGTGTGGTGTTCAAATCCATGAGCTACAGAGATGTCGTCTCACCACAAGTATAAAAAAAAAAGGTTAAAAGGAAAAGAAAAAGAAAAAGTTGCTCAGCTAAGAGGGCGGCTGTAGAGCAAGTGATGAGAATCTTCTTTCCATCTGTCCAACAACTTGGAAACTGTGTCGATCTTGAGCGACGAGTTATCGTAGATCGAGTTCGCCGTCGGCCGAGCAAACAATGGCTTGAACGGGTTGCTAAAAGTGTGCTCCGGCAACTTGCGCCTGAGAAATACTCTCAGATATTCCTCCGAACTCTCCCAAAGCGCCTGTTTGACGCCCATCGAGTGGACCGTCGAATGCAGAGCTCCGGCAAGCTGACGGAAGCCGCCCAAAACATCCCTACAGTCCTCAGCGAACGGGCTGCCCATGCCGGCCTCGTGCGCAAACAAGTCATAAGCCCAGTCGATTTCACTCGTCAACGAAACCCGGAAATTCCTCGAGACGATCTGGTGCATGATGAGAATCAAGGCCGCATTGAAGATGTGATGAAGATCGGGAATTAGGAGCTTCCCGTTCGGCGATCTCTCCCTGATCAGCCATCCCAATCTCAAATTGCGTTGAGCTGCGGTAGTGCAGGCGAGAATAGCAGGCGCTTGGGGATCGTCATTGAGCTCATAGAGCTTGTCGAGGTCTACGATGCTAGCAATGGCCTTCTGAACAGCCGACAGATATGCCGGGCGAACCGAGATGATCAGCAACTGGTTATGGCTCATATGAAGGGATAAGCATCCCCGGTCGTGGGTGAAGATCTCCAAAGCGCGCTTGTGATTTTGTGCAAGCTCTTCCTTGTGAATATCCAAGGGGAAGAGGTGGCTCTGTGAAAGGGTGATCGCGTCCAAGGGGTCAGCCGGCAAGGTCAAAGACTCGGGCAAACCGTCCAACCAGTGCTGAAGATTGTGCAGGTCGTGCATGATCCGGGCCTCGGCCGACATCTGCGTAGAAAGCTGGTTGTGAATTAGTGAGAAATAATTGTCGTAAACAATCAGGTGTGATATCTGAGAAAGCCGGACATGAGCCAGCAACGCCTCATGGGAAGGAAGACCCTCGCAGTGCTGGGGCAAAGCCGTCGAGACATCTTGCTCAGGAATCTTGACCGGGCGGCCAAGAATGCAAGCCAACCATCGATCAATGATGTAGAGGGTCCAGAATGTTCGCACATCAGCCTCATCGGTACAAAAGCCACTGTGCATACCGTGAGCCATGGCTGTCTGCATCGCCAGCCCAATCACGGTTGATGCTTGGTCTCGTCTGTTATTCTCAACCAGATAAAGAGCCATTAGGGCCAGAGTAGGGAGATCATCCTTTGTATACGACCTCCCGTCCAGAGGACCACCAATCAGAGCTTTAGCCGTAGAATAGTGCTGTTCTCCCAACTTTCCCCTGCCTTCGACCCTGGATTCTGGACCTGTTGCCTCCAGTAGGCTCGCAAAAGCCAATAATGCATGACCGAAAGCTAACTTGGGCCGATGATGAATGACGGGTGGAAGCATGCCCGGGCGCTTTTTTCCTTCTTCTGACATGCCGGCGATGAGTGACGCCCTGGGGAAGTTCCAGAACATGATCCCGCCAGTCTTGTACTCGCCGTTGCCATCGGATAAAAACTTGCGGAGCAACTCGAACGATCTACTAATCTCTGATGTCGATGGTACTTGGTAAGGTGCAGCGTCCGACAGTTGGAGGGCCCGCGAGTCGTACGTCTGATAGCGCCCAACAGATGACAGAAATGCCTCACCATACCATCTCCCTCTGTCGGCTTGACGAATTCCAATCACTTGGGATAAGGGCCCCGCAACGGCCATGACTTCTTTCACACCGTCAAGAAAGCATGCACCGGAAGAGCGTCCAAAAAGTCGTGTAGTACCAGCCGAGTCGATAAGCATCCGTGCATCAGCAAGTCCCAGCTCAGCCACCGCTCGATCCACCTTTGCTTGAGAAGATGCCTCGTCCCATGCGAGGACCCGAGGTTCATAGGCCCGTTCCCAATCATCCATCTGGAGGTACAGGAGCTCGGGATCATGGCCATCGGCGTTTGGTTCAGCAGAGATTTTTGGGTTAGGTCCAACGCCAGCAAGATAGGAAAGCTTGGCTGTCCTAAACATGAGATAGTCGTAAAAGGAACAAGAGACTTGGCGTTTGGCGTCGGCCCTGGGATATTCACAATCACGACCGTTCGTGACACACTGTTCACAGGGCTGGCATCCGGTGCACTTGACGCGTCGAACATTGCATTCGTGGCAACTTTTTACTGGTCAGATGATGGAGAAGCAGAGATTGAAGGAGACAGAACGTACGCCATGGCGACACGCTTTCGTTTGTCGGCGGGCACCTTATTCTTGCGTGGATGGACGGGCAGGCGGTCTTCCTCGGATGCAGGCGGCCGTGGAATGTAGGGTCCACGCCGGGCATCCACAGGCGTCTGTGGGGACTTTGGAGCCCGCGGCATCGCGGCTGTCAGTGGTGGCGGCGGTGGAAGAAGGAGTTGGTGGTAATGATAGCCAGTGCTGGTCTCGTTGTGTGGTTGCGGAGCAGGAGTAGGAGGAGGTGGCAGATGAAGAGGAGGAGAGAAGACCAGTCGTG